CGGATTAGGAAGCCTAATCTGAACTAGCTACTCCGTGCCGCGTGTAGCCGCGCGGCACGGGGTCCGACCTAGCCGGCATTTAAAAATGGCGCCGGCCGGCTTTATGCAAATGAAGCCTGGGAAATTCAAATCCTGGGCTTCATTTGCAACTGCGGATGACTACATTACCCCCGCTAGTTCGAACTAGGGGGGTAGTGTAGACATACCCTCCCTGATCAAACGGCTTTCCAGCCCACTGTTTGGGACTCCGCCAGTCCCTGTGTCCGACCTAGCCGGCATTTAAAAATGGCGCCGGCCGGCTTTATGCAAATGAAGCCTGGGAAATTCAAATCCTGGGCTTCATTTGCAACTGCGGATGACTACATTACCCCCGCTAGTTCGAACTAGGGGGGTAGTGTAGACATACCCTCCCTGATCAAACGGCTTTCCAGCCCACTGTTTGGGACTCCGCCAGTCCCTGTCTTGCCTGGCAGTAATAATTAGTGAACCCCCATTCCCGAGTTCCTCAGAGTCGTGTATCCGCACACGGCCCAGAGGGATTCTTTGTGCAGCCCACGAGGCATTTTGTTACCGTTGCCCATGCGCAGGGTGGCCGGTTTCTGCTGGATTTGGTCTGCGTGGGGTTATTTACCTATCCTAGCACTAAAGTGACACACGTGCCAATCAAGGGCAGGTGCAGCGAGGGGCGGGCAGATGGCCCACAACGGGCCGGGAGAGCCAGGCGCTCCCTCTGCGTCCAGTCACTGCGCGGCTGCTGTTCCGTCGGCACCACCCGCAAATTCTAGGGACGCCAGCGCGGTGTGCAAAACCCCCCTCCCCCAAGAGACTGGCTTGGTTATGACAATCTCGCTCGCCCAGCTTGCCCATCACTTTGCAGCTTATTGAGGTAACCGGGATAGGCAAACCCTCCGCTTCAGTCAAAGCTGGACTTGGTTTATAGTAAAGTAAGTTTCTTAAGAAGAGGGAATGGGCTTGCACGCTCTCCGGTGTCAGGAGTAAAGAGAGAAATGGCTGCAAAGGGAGTCAGTGCCTCTCAGACGTCATTAACTAGTGTCCTTCGACTAGAATCCTTTGCTCCAAGAAGTTTTCTCCCCAGTAGGGCTCAGCAGTGTGTTAGCCAGGGTGCTCACACATTTCACATCCTTGGTCTCCTGTGAAGGGGAATTTAGGGTGTCCCTTTTCCTGGCTGGGTGCAGATGCCATGCTGTCTGCTGTAGGCTCCAGATTGGCTCCAAAGAATAGCCCATTCAATTTGGACAGTCCTGATTGGCGGTGCTGGCTTCTTTCCCTCTCCGGAGACACCCTGTCCATCATCTCCCCTGAGCTGCCGGGGCGAACGTGTTTTAGTTGTGTACTACCAGCACGCCGGTAAAGTTCTGTGTGGCTTAACCGCACGTACGTCACGCAAAGCCATCCGCGCTCGGTGCGTTATTCGTCTTCCTGTGAGATTTTACAGGCCCCTTTTGCATAAAGACCGTGACAATCGTGTGTCAGCTGGCATTGGAGTGCTCTTAGAGCGGCGTCCTCAGGGAACATGATGAAGACACTTCTCTTCCCCAGAGACCGGGAAAGAGGCAGGCACCCTGGCTATTCTAGTCACGGTAGTAATTCTCCTCTCTGCTGGAGGCTGTGGTGTTACGTGGTCCCTGCAGCTTTTGAAGAACAGGTGAGACAAACTCCTGTCCGGGATGGGCTAGGTCCTACTCAGTCCTGCCTCATTGCAGGACCCTGGACTAGATTAGCCTCTCCAGGACCCATCCAGTCCTACGTTTGCGGTGATTCCATCTGTGGCACTTCACAGACCAGGAAGGCAGCTGTCCGCACCCTAAGGAGCTAGCAGTGTACAGACCAGGTGTCCCAGAGAGGAGGGCACCCCCTGGGCTGGGCGTGGAGTGAAGGGCTCCGGGGACAGCAGTTGCTGTGCCGCCGAGGGACCTGGCCTGGGCTAAGTCGGGCGAAGGCTGGAAGCCAGCGTAAGGGGCTTCCATCTGCTGCAGACGGCTAAGGGAGGCCTTCCAAGGGAGTTGAGACGAGGCCAGATGTGATCACCGGGGAGGCGGGGCGCGGGGGTGAACGCTGGAGAAAATAGATGAGGCAGCTGGGGTGGCGCAGGGGTGAGCTGGCCTGTGGCCTTGGACTGGAGCGCAGGGGGCGGCGAGTGGGGCTGCTGTCGAAGTGAACCCCTCTGGAGTTGTTGTGAGGAGCCGGCTGATGTAATGTCACCCGCTCAGCTGGGTACCAGGCACCGTGTCTGTACCAACCCTGTTGGAGCAACCTCCAGCTGCAGCAGTGAGTGGGCCCCCCCCATGCTGAGCTGCCCTCGGGCCGTGGCAGTGCGGGGAGAGTTCCCTAAAGCTGCCAATGTGCCAACCGGCTGCCACAGGCAGAGAGCAACTTCGGCTGCCGCCTTCCACCTCTTTCCACCTCCCGAAATGCAGACGAGCATGGGCTGGGCTGTCAGCGTTCCCTATGCGCTCGCTGGAAGTACCATTCGCAGCACTCCTGTAGGCCACCACAACAGCAGCCGCTTTGCTACCCTGTGTGAGTGCAAAACCGCTGAAAGCTGAGCCGAGGTAGAGCCACTGGACTCCTTAAGTCAACCAGGTCAATTTCTCCTGCAGCCAGCTGGGTGCCAGAGGTTCTCGAGTTCTGGGTGAGTATGGGCAACGCCTGCGGAGTTGCTCAGGGTGCAGCCGTGCCGAGGTCTCCCGAGATGGAGAGGCAGGGAGGGCGATGCGGAGCTGGATTGAAATCCCTGGGGAGAGCTGTGCTTGGGAAGCTGATCCCAAGCAAACCCAGATCTGGGAGGAAAAGGGACCGACCATGAGTGGAGCTGTGCAGGGGGGTGTAATTACTGCTTTGGCCTTCAACGTCCTTGTTTTGGTGGGAGGTGGGGAGGGTAGAGGACTCGAAATTGACCCAGTGGGCAGTTTATCCCGCGAAAAGCTATGTCCCGGTTTTGTCACACGGGGAGCCCCCAGGGATGCTGTTAGCTTTCCTCCTTCTGACTCCTCCCCGTAGAGCTGCAGCCCTTTTTCATTTGCTTCAGGGGAGTAAACTGTGGGTGTAAATCCAGATTTAACAATGCTCCCCTACTGCTATTGCCCCTGAAGGCCCCCAGCGCACTTTACCAACTCGATCGAGGGTATAAGACTCCGTCACCCGTTACAGAAATCAGTTGCCTCCGGGGTGAGATGTCGTCACTGGTTTTAACTTACAGGTGAACAAAATAGGTTGGGGTTTGGTTGGGTTTTTGCAAAATGCCAGACGGACGCTAGGCTGGCCGTGTGCCCGTGCTCTCCTCGAGTCCCCCTCGGGGCACCGGGCCTGGTTTTATTTCAAGGAAGCAGAGGAGAATGGCAGTCCAGACTTCGGGGGGGTAACCCTCAGTGGTCCGAGCCTGGCTCGCATTCCCCGGTGGTTCAGGGAGGTGAGGCTTTGTACCAGTCCCTGTGGTTCTGAGTAGGGATGTAAAATCCCCTTTTTAAAATGTTAACCGGTTAAATGACATGTTAACCCTCTCGCTGTGTCATGGCGTGGGTGGATGTGGGCTGCGGCTTGGCATGGTGGGCCTGGCCAGCTGGAGCCCCCTTCTCCTGCAGCACGCCACAATAGGTGCCAGTTAACGGGTTACCAGGTGATGCTTACCCGTTAACCACTTACCTGTTAACATCCCTAGTTCTGAGCTGGCTGGGTTTACATACCAGGAGCCATCGTTTACCCCTTTGTACCTGCCTGTCCCCGCCTCCCGATTATCCATCACTAGGCGTTACCCTCATTCGGTGCCCCATACCGTACATCCTACCAGCCAAACTCCGCCCCCACGGAAACGGCCGTGGTACAGATTGAAGTCGAAATGCTCACTGGCCGTCACTGCGTGTGGCACTTCCTTACCCCTCACCGACTCCCCTTTAGCTGATGCCGAGCGCCCTCGGGCCTGTTGAACACTCTGGTGAGTTTGTGGCCGAATCCAAACACACAGGGGGACGGAGACGTTTGCCTTTGGGAACTGGCCTGATCATTCTTCTCGTGCGAGTCCACCCGGCTGTGGCCCCCTTCGCCCAGCCTGGCTGGGAGTTTCTGAGTATTGGGCCTAGCTCATCTCGGGAAAGGAGACAGTGCCTTCTGTCTGAGCCTGTCCTTCGGGCCACCTTGTGCTCACAGGGCTGGGCTTGGGCGCTGGCATTTCCAGCCCACCCATTGCACACAGGCCCTTTCCAACGCCAAGCGCAGCCAGGAAGGGACCGAGAGGGAATGGGCGGGCGCCATTCAGCTCAAATCCCAGCAGGTCCAGGAGTTTCCTGTCGTTATTACATGGGAGCAGCCAGCGA